ACTCATAATCAGCCTCTCATTTATGTCACATAATCAAATGTTCACTTTGTCTGGTTTTGTTGCAGCATGCCCCATATTCAATTTTACAGTCTTTACAAATAAAGGATATATCAAAGTATTGTTCTGTCTTGGTGTGTGCTATCATCTGATAGGTAGCAGAAGCAGTGCTAAAATCAAGGTTGGTTTGGTCACTATAGTCTATAAAGCAATAACTGCATTCTTGCTCATCCTCTTTTATTAATTCCAAAACTCTATATTCTAAACTCATACTAATTTATTTATTTTTTTGAACAATGTAAGTTTGGAACTTCTCCTTACTTTTTTCTTTAATTCTGTTTACTAATTGTTTAAGTTTTAACAATCTGCTTTGCTTTTTAGGCAGGGCTGGCAATTCTTTATTCTCATATTCTTTGAGAACTTGTTTTTTATTTCTTAATCAATTAATGTTATTTTCTAAAACTTCTATTCTTTTCAAAAATCACTTCTCTCTTGAAACATGGATTGATTTTACTTCTTTCATTTGCCATTCTCTCCACTTCATGGCTGTATTCAATGCTTTCTCAGCTTCTTCACGTTCCATTTCTAAATCATCTTCCAAACCTTCTACTTTTTTTTCTAATTCTTCTACCTTTGCTTCCAACTCTTTAATTCTTTCATCCTTGCCTCCAATAATATCTTTAAGAATTATATCCTTAGCTGGTCTACCAAAGATTTCACCTCCTTCTTTTATTTGAGAAAAAATATGAGTTCTTTCATTTCATTTCTTTCAATCTTTTAGCAAGTCAGTAGCTAACTCAGTGCTTTCAAAATGGTCTATTACAATTCTCTCTACAACTTCTTCCAAATTCTCCTTTTCTTTCCAATTATAGTCATGCATAAGACTGTGTTGAAAACAAATATTCATAAACTGGTTTCTTAATGGTTTGCTAATTAATTCTCTTAAATCTTGTTCAATGTTTTTGCTACAGTGAGGGAACCTGTTCCTCATCTCTACCAACATTTGGTGAATTCTTTCAGTTGCATTTTGTTTAAATTCCGCTTCTTCTTGCTCATTTACTTCTGTATTTTTATAATCATTGAGTTCTCTATCTTTATCAGCTAATTGTTGTTTTAATAATTCTATTTCGTTTAATAATTCTTTATTTTCTTGTTGTTTTTCTATAATATTTACCATGATTTTTTATTTAGTTAAGTATATAATTATTTTAATATTTTTTTTATTTAAACTTTAAAAATTATAAAGTGAAAACATCAAAAATTAGATGGAAAATTTAATGCGGCGAGAAAATTAATGAATTTAGTCTAATATTTTATTCATTGCCAGTATAAATTGGTTGTGGACAAGTAATGTCTTTGAATTCATCTCTAACGAAGGGGCGAATATTATGATAAAGATATTCTTGTCTTTTGTAATCCAAAGGAGGCGGAGTTAGAACCAGGATGGAAAATGATTTAATTTCTTTGGTAATTTCAGAAACAGTTGCTTTTCTCGTTTTTAACAAATTAAATTCAGTAAAAGCACCATTAGCAACCAGCTGAGCTTTGACAATACCAGGTCGAGCTGCTTCGAATACAAAATGCTGATATTTTTGTAAGCCATTTAATTTCTTAAAGAAAATTCCTAACACCGAATTAAGATCTAAATATTGAAAGCCTTTGCCGTTTTCATAGCACTGAGCTTTGTTTAATCCGGCTGTACTCGATCTTTTCACAACCTCAACAATATGATCCACGCAATCTACTGATGTTTTGCGATATAATTTCTTAATTAATCCAAAACTACCATCACACTTGAATTTAGTATGACCAGGTACCATAAAATTTAATTCGATACTTTCGTAATAACCGCAAATTACTAAATATAGGTAAAATCAAATGGTGGCATTATTTTTATTCTGTCCGCCCGCATTGTCACAAGTAATCTTTAAATATTTTTCATTTTTATTTAATTTTTTAATCCCATCGAATACCATGCTCAGCGTACCATTAGGGCCCTTGCCGATAATTTCGTTTTCATCAAGAACGTAATTAATTTGTTCGCGTACTGCTTCATCCTGAATACC